TAAAAACTCTATGCTAATTTTAAACTTAAAAGCTAAAACTAAAAACTAAAACCAAAAGTAAATAAGAATAAATAGCAAATGAAATAGGTCAACTAAAAGGGCGAAAATGAATAAAACTAAAATATCATAACAACTAATAGTGCAAAACACACAATAACGAACTAAAATGCAAGCAATCTAAAATGAAAATCATGAAATAGATGCTACATAAAATTATTCAAAATTTGGTGTCTACAGTTTGCCCCTCTTTGTCTGAGTTTTGAAAAAACTTGAGACAAAAAAGTAGACACCAAATACTTACCTGTGTTATTCGGCTGCGCATGATTCCAACGATAGCCGCCCTTGAAACAAGGACTGACCTCTTATTCAAAATGTTGAAATGGGATTGACCGAAACAGAAAATTAAAACGGGACTGACCCGAACAGAAATTTAAACGGGACTGACCCGAACAGGAATTTAAAACGGGACTGACCCGAGTAGGAATTTAACACGAGACTGACCCGAACAGGAATTTAGACAGGACTGACCCGAACAGAACTTAAACGGGACTGTGCTCACTAGTGGGACTGACCCACGGCTAGTGGCTATGAAAATGAAATGCTTACTGGCGGGACAAACCCAACTGCAGTAGCAATGAAAATGAAATGTCTTGACCATCGGACAGTGGGATCAAACCCGCGCCTGCCGTGATGAACTTGATTTGATTTTTTACTTTGATTTTTTGATTTTTGATTTTTTTGATTTTTTTTGATTTTTTTTTATTTTTCCTGACTGAGAGAGATTTTTCGAAATAATTTGCCCCAGTGTAATGAATTGGTCAGTGGGATTAAACCCGAGCCTGCCCAATGAAATGTTGGCGGTACGAAGTCCAAGCCCAACGGGATGTTGTGAAGTTGGCGGCACGAAGTCCAGGCCCAACGTGATCTTGTCAAGTTGGCGGCACCAAATCCAGGCCCAACGTGATCTAAGCGGTCAACGGGATAGAACCCGGTCCTGCCGAGGATAGAATAAAACACACGCGTTAGTGAGATAGACTCGATGCTAACGGTGGCAGGATGAAACACACACGTTAGTGAGATGGACTCGATGCTAACGGTGGTAGGATGAAAACACGCACGTTAGTGAGATAGACTCGATGCTAACGGCGGTAGGATGAAAACACGCACGTTAGTGAGATAGACTCGATGCTAACGACGGTTGAAGTAAAACACGCACATTAGTGAGATAGACTCGATGCTAACTGCGGTTGAAGTAAAACACGCACGTTAGTGAGATAGACTCGATGCTAACGGCGGTTGAAGTAAAACACGCACGTTAGTGAGATAGACTCGATGCTAACGGCGGTAGGATGAAAACACACACGTTAGTGAGATAGACTCGATGCTAACGGCGGTAGGATGAAAACACGCACGTTAGTGAGATAGACTCGATGCTAACGGCGGTAGGATGAAACGCACCCGTTAGTAAGATAGACTCAATGCTAACGGTGATAGAATCAAATGTGGTCGTCAAGAGTGGGGAATGGAAGGGTGCGCGGCGGGCGCTGAAATTTCATTAACAAGAAATTGAAATTTGTCGAGAAATAAGAAAGTAAATTCAAGTTTGATTTTTGAGAATTTTTCAAAAATAATTGGCCCCAATTTCCATCAATCAATTGATTTGCATTATGGCAGGGTTGATCCTCATTAAAACTTTGATTCGCTTCTTCTTTGGTCCGATCCCCTCAGTCATATAAAAATTCTTGGGCGACATTTCTCGATTCAAAAAGTTGCTCCAGTTTCGTCCTTTGAAACGCGTATGAATCTGCAAAAGAAAGAACAAATAATGCCACCACCATTTGATCTATTCCTCCTTCAAGAAATGTGTAAACATGAGTACTTTGATGTTTTCCCCTTGATACTATGAAAACTCAACTTTGCTCTGTGATCTGATCAAATTCCATTGATTTCCAATGCTAATAAGGCCCTTGGTATCCAGGGATTTTCGATAAATCAGGGGGATTGCCATTGGATAAATCCAAAAGATAGATGAGACCATGTAACAAATGAAAGAATTGTCTATTTATGGACAAAAATTTCTGTAACATGAAAACAATCATTTATTGAAAGAAAATTAATTTTGAAGAAATGAATCTATAAATTCGACAATGTACACTTGAAAAACCAAAAGTATTCCGACTTCAAACAAATGCCACGCTTGACCCTTTAGATATCATCTGCCCTGAGTTCAATGTCGGCAACCCCTAGACCCCCCTCCTCCACCTGATTAGATCGTTGCAGTCTATCTCTAACGCTTTCTCCTGTAAATTGTGGTGGCGTTTTCGGCAGCAGGACTCTTTGTGGGCGAGGTTTTTGTCAGGTTTGTATCTCCGGGGAGGTCATCCTAATCAGGTGGTAGTGGGTCCGTCGAGTTCGGCAATCTATAGGCGGATGTTCCAAGTACGTGAGCAGATGGAATTACAGATCCGTTGGGATGTTTCTCTCGGAGATTGTTATTTCTGGTGGGATAATTGGAGCGGATTGGGCCCCCTTGCCTGGCGGTTTCCAGCCCTCTCTTCTGACCATAAGGTTAGGGATTTTTGGCTTCAGGGGACTTGGGACTGGGCTCGTCTCTCGTCTTTCCTTCCACCGGAGGTTTTGGAGGTGATGGGGGAGACTTTTATGTGTTTTGGGGATTTACCAGATCAGCCCTGTTGGCAGTTGACATCCTCGGGTTGTTTCTCCATGGCTTCGGCTTATCACCTGGTCCGTCGGGCTGGGGTGAAGTCGGTGGTATTCCGCTCGCTGTGGGATTCCTCAATTCCACTTAAGGTTTCTTGTTTTGCTTGGCGTTTGTTCTCTGGTAGGTTGCCTTTGGATGATGTGTTATGTGTACGGTGCCGGTTTGCGGGCCCCTCCCAGTGCCCGTTGTGCTTGGCTGCTCGGGAGACGGCTGATCATTTGTTTTCTTCCTGCTCGGTGGCCCAGGCCATCTGGTCATTCTTTGAGTCTCGGTTGGGGATTTCGCCGGCTTCTTGTGGGTATCGGCCTAGATGTATGGCATGGTGGTCTCAACCTGTGAGTAAGCTGTCGGTTCGGTGGCTGTACAGGATTTTGTCTATTCTCATTCTTTGGTTTTTGTGGAAGGCTAAGAACAAATGGCGTTTCGATGGCATTAAGTGGTCGGTCCGTACGTTGTGTTCTTCTATATTCCAAGAGCTCTCGCTTATTTGTTCTATCAAGTTTCCTGGGCGTTCACTTCCGCCCGAACTTGGGGATCTTGTGTCCGTTATTTCGGGGATCCAGCGTCCTTTAAAGTCTACGTTGGTTACTTGGGGATTCCCTCCAAGTGATTTTGTCAAGCTTAATACTGACGGGTCCTCCTTGCCCACAGTTGGTGCTAGTGGAATTGGTGGGATTCTTCGAAGGGCTGATGGGTCGTTCGTTGGAGCGTTTGCGGCCAAGTTACCTTTGGTGGATTCTTTGCAGGCGGAGGCTTATGCAATGCTGCAAGGGCTTCAATTATGTCAACAGCTGGGTTTCTCCATGGTACAGGTTGAGTCTGACTCGTTGGTTTTGGTACGGGTGGTGGCAGGGAGTTTCACGATTCCATGGGCGGTTCGGCCGCTTATCAGAGCGATCCGTGACATTTTGCCGTTGGACTTTCGCCTCTCCCATTGTTTCCGGGAGGCAAATACGGTAGCTGACTCTTTGGCAGCGGTAGGAGTTACTTGTAGCGGGCATTTGGACTTTCCTTCATTCATTTCTCTTCCACGTCTGTCTCGGTCCCTCTTTGTGCTAGATAGGGAGCAGGTTCCTAATTTCCGGTTTTCCTTTCGTAGATAGGCTTTGCTAGTTGGTTTTTCGCTTTGGCTTTGATGTTCTTGTTCCTTTGGACTTTGATTGGTTTTTAATAAAAGGTCGTAGTGACCGTCTGTTTAAAAAAAAAAAAAAAAAAAATGTCGGCAACAGAAAAACATAATGCGAGAAGGAATCCCAAATGAACCGAATCATCAGCTTTCTAATTCCAACCTCACTTTTCTCATGAAACTCTACCTTAGCGCCCTTCTAGGTTTTCACTAAGACCATTCCCACTTCTTTTTTCTTTTTCTTTTTTTTTCTTTTTGCTTTTTTTCTCTCTTTTTTCTTCTTCTCTTTTCTTTTTTTTTTTTTAACAAAAGGTCCCCTTTTCGGATTTTCGCCTGATGAACAAATCTCGCCAATAGCCTTTATCAACTCAAAAAGATGTGTTTTAGGAGATAATGGCATCAGTGCGACAACCCCTTCCCTTACAACGTGAGTGAAGGCGTATTGACATCATTTGCCATGTGACTTAGAAAAATTTCCTTAAAAGAGGTAATACCAAGAACGGAAGCCAGGACTTTTTGGCTTTTGTAATGGGGTCTGGTGGGGTGTTTAGAAAAGTTAAGGTTTGAAGGCAGATTTCAAGAGTGGTTTAAGTAATCTGAGATCGCATTGTTGTGCCAACCTATTTTAGGGCTAAATCAGAATTTGCCCCAGTTTATGCTCAATTGAGGCCTTCTTTCATTTTCTTTCTCCTTTTGATTTTTCGGCCTTCTGCCATTTTTGAACTTTTCAAAAATTTGCCCCAGTTTATTTGTGAACTGAGGTTCTCTTTTCTTCTTTTGTCTTTTGATTTTGTGGCTTTTCACTTTTCCACTTTTTGAAATTTTCCTTTTCAACTCAAACTTGCCCCAGTGTGGGGTTTACGATTCTCAGGGGTTGCCAAATGAAGTATTTTATTCTGAAGGCTCAAAAGGGATAACTAGGGATATAATGTCTTAATGGGAAAAGAAGAGGGCCTGACTTTCATTCCATTCTTCGCATTAATTCTAAAAGAAAACTTTCGTTTATCAGATGAAAATTTCTTACACATCTCCGAATTGATTGGCTGAGGGAACAAGTGCTCCACCCGGCGATACCTTTTTGATGATAAGAGCACCTTACCAATTTGCGGCAAACTCTCCTTTTGGCTTCATTCTGTACTGATAAAAATCACCTTAATGCTTTGCCTTCTTGTCTGAATGGTCATGATTTGACCCTTTAATGGTAATCACAGACCAATCCTCTTGATCATATTGACCACGATAGACTGTGTTTAACTGCTTCTTATTCCTAATCTTGATCACGATTTGGCTTGAACTTCTTTTATTCCATTCGGGCTTCTTTGAAACATTTTCGGATGCCTCTTCCCCACTCCTCTCATTTTTGAAATTCAAATTCACATTTATGAGATCGCTGCCATCAAATTTCTGAACAGTGATATCCAAAGGGTCAGGCGGTTTTATTCTGGGCCATCTGAAAAGAATGTGTAAGTCACAATATATATAAGACTGTACATTTTATTGACTTTCCAGACAAAAACCAAACTTAATATCATGAAACGTGTCTTTAGCAGTCACTTGATTGAAAACTATTTACAAAAAACATATTTAAACAAAAGACACATGTATGAACGATTTTCATTGGTTGCAAACCAAAACAACTCCCCAAATTTATCAAAACTTCCCTTCAAGAGGAACCTCACTAATTCAGCCATTTCCAGGATTTTCAAATTTCCTTGCTGGAGGTAAATGCCTCAAAAGTGTCCTTGTGTTCAGAAAAAGGATTCGTACTTATGTTCGGTCCTTGTTCTTCCCTTTTCCTTAATCACTATATTTCCTGCTTCGATCATGTCCTGGATCTTATGTTTTAGTACCCAACAGTTACTGGTCGAATGACCGGGCGCTCCAGAATGGTAGGCACACGCGGCTTGAGGGTCGTACCCAGAAGAGAGACCTCGACGAGAGTAGTTTGGAGGAGGTATGTCATCTATTTTACCGGCAGCCTTGAGCTGTTCATACAGTTGGTCAATGGGTCGGCCTAAGTTGGCAAAAGTTCGAGATCGACCAGGTTTTTGTATTTTATTGGTTTGAGGAAGGTTGTAAGTCTGTTGGTTTGGTGGAGCAGGTCTGGGATTATAAGGTAGACGAGATTGAATTTGAGGATTGTTTTGAGTCATTGGGAAGGATATTGTAGGTGGGCTTGCATGGTTTGGCTGAGGTCGAGGGTGATTAGTGGTAGTATGGTAAACAGGGCGTGAGTTTGGGTAGCGAAATGAATACGTCTGGTAACGTTGGGATCTGGGTCTTGAAAATGGTCCTTGGCCCCACACAAAAGTAGTTTCCTCCTCTTTCTTCTGGAGATGAGGCTCCCTTCTGTTACTACTTTGACCTTGCAAGGCGTCCAACTGTGATTTTAAAGCTGATACATTGACAATTTTCCCTGCTTTGACGTATTTGTCATATTCCTCCAACTTATTGATAATTGCTGCAAATGAACACCCGGTCATGCGAAAAATCTCCTCAAAGTAGGGCGGATCATGAGCTTTGATGAACGTACGAACAATCTCATCTTCAATCATAGGGGGTTCCACCTTGGCGGCCAATTTCCTCCATCTTTTCGCATATGTCTTGTGGTCCTCGGATGGTTTCCTCTTGGTTCCTTCCAATGTGGTCCTCGTTGGAGCCAGCTCGCAATTGTATTCGTATTGCCTTACAAAAGCAGTTGATAAGTCCAGCCACGTCCTCATATCCTCGAGTTTCAAATTGGAATACCAGTCCAATGCATCACCTTCTAAACTTTCGGGAAACAAACGAACTGGTAGATTCTCGTCATCTATTGGTTTGCCCAACTTGTTGGCAAACATTCGGAGGTGCGTCTTGGGGTTGCCCGTTCCATCATACTTGCTAAACTTGGGCGTTTTGAAACCCATGGGCAATTGCATATCCGGAAATAGGCACAGCTCGTTGTAGTCTAAACCTCCTTGTTTGTTCAAGCCTTGGCTTTTCCTTATGAACTCCTCAAACCGATCCAATCGCTTTAGCAAATTCTTATCCACCGGTGCGGATGACTCCCCGGTTTCAACTTTCCCTTGAACAGCGGTATCTAGGGTGAATGGCTCAGCGGTAGAGTAATAATAAGGTCCCTGTGGCTCGAATGGCATGCTCATAGTAATTGGCGGATAATTTTGGGGAATTTGGACATGAGGAGGGTTAGTTTGGATGTAAGGTGCATAAGCAGGTTGTGGGCCATGAGTGGGATAAGTAAAGACTTCCTCAGGTGGGTTTATGACTTGTGAAGTAACAGAGGTTTGAACATAAGGTAAAAATATGGGTTGTGGTTCAGATTGGCCAGGAGGTAGGGGCTCATGTTGTTCACCGCTAGCACCACTAGCTACCAATTGATCTATTACTCGCCGTTGGGCCATCATTCCACCGCTCAGCTCATTAAATCGGTTTAGAACTTCACGCAGTTGATCTCCCAGATTTGTCAAGTCAGTCGGTGATGTATTTGCGGGCCTATCAGATGATTCTGGATGGGTACTCATGTTTACACTATCTCTTGAAGCTCGGTTACGCGATCGGGTGATAATGGGGCTTTTTCGGGTAACTATATACTACCTGAGAATGTAGGAAAACCCTTATTAGATACCCTTCTTGATTGATTGCTGTCAAAAGGAAAAGAAAAAGGAAAAAGGAAAAGACAGGAGTTAGTAACAATTAAAGTAATTCGGATGCATGTCCTATGGGGGGAACCCTTTTTGTGCCAAGGGTAGGCCTAGAATGAAAATGCAATCCTCTGAGGTAGGCACTATACCATACCTGATGGATCTGATCAACTCATTGAGTGAAAAATAATTTTGAAAATTTGGTCAATTGGATTGACGAAAGACATTTGTCAAAATGAGAACCTCGTCCGAAGGGATTGATCACTTTTGATCGATACAAGAACTTGCAAAAACACACGGGTTTGACCTTGACGAACTTCCTATCGAAGAGATATGGAATTTGTTGATAAAATTTCTCAGTGAATCACGGGTCAAAACCCTAATTGATCAAATGACTGGATGCAATGGATGGTTTTCTCAAAAATCGACTAAGCTTCCCAATTTAAAATTGACATTGAAACCCTGATTGGTCAAATGGGTTGAATGAAATTGACCATTTATTTAAAATCGACCAGATTACCCTAAAAAGGGAAACTAGTCAAATGAATTGAGTGGAACTCAAAATGGACCAAATCATTCTAAAAAAAGGAACTTGATCAAATGGAATTGAGAATTTTATTCAAAAATGAAATTGGTCAAATGAATTGAATGAAATCGAAAATTTATTCAAAATTGACCAGATCGCCCTAAAAGGGTAAACTGGTCCAATGAATCGGATGAACTTGATGATTTATCGAAAATCGACAAAAATGCCCTAACTAATCAAATGAATTGAATGAAATTGGTGATTTATTCAAAAGTCGGCCGAATGACCCTAAAAAGGGTAAATTGGTCAAATGAATTGATGATTTATTCAAAATCGATCAGGTGACCCTGAAAAGGGTAAATTGGTCAAATGACCCTAAAAAGGGTAAATTGGTCAAATGAATTGACGATTTATTCAAAATCGACCAGGTGACCCAGAAAAGAGTAAATTGGTCAAATGACCCTAAAAAGGGTAAATTGGTCAAAGGAATGATTTATTCAAAATTGATTGACAAAAAGGATTGATTGAATCATCTGGCCATTGGTGGTTTGAAAAAATTAGTCTATGAGCCTTCTAAAATCACGATTTGGCCTCAATTTATTAATCGTCTCAACAGGGAGGAATTGCTTGTGAATTTCTTCAAATTAATGTCCTTTTACGCAAAGGATTTTTACCAACTTTGATAAAATGGCCAAAAAAGTGATTATTAGACGCTCATATTCCAAAAATCGCTCTTATGAAGACAATCGGATCCTACCTTACCTTGTGCACTACCTCTTTGGATGGTACAAAAAATGTAAACGTGCAAGTCTCCTTGGATTAAGTATCCGAGACATAAGGCGGCTTATTCCTTAACACGGGATCCCCTATGTGGCATTCCCTTTCTAGGGTTATGCATGATGCCATTTATTAAAGCGATGTAAATATGCAATTCGAAATGAAACGTGACCTAAGGAACCCTTTATTTGCCAGGGTAGGCCTAAAATGGTATGGCATTATTAATTTATGAACAAAATGTACCACAATTTTCAAACGTGCAATAGCCTATCTACAAGGGTAGGTCCTAAAGGGAGGTCATGCCAGACCTCTTATTTGCTAATGTTTGTGAATGCAATGGGGGCACAGAATCAAGAAAAGTTAGCGCAGTCAGATAAATACACATAACACATTATAGCAACGAAATCAACACAAGGAAATAAAGCAATAAAAAGAAGAAAGGGGTTGGACCCCTCCCCTCGTGAATAGTGTCCCTAATAGGGTATGGCTGACTCTACCCTAGGCAAGCTAAAATGGATGCATGAGGTTAGGGTTCACTAATGCATCTAGACTCGATAACCTCAGGTCCCCGAGCCTTCAGACTTGGAAACCAAGGGTCATCACTCCCAAGGTTCCTTGTCGGTGGCTCGAGCGATTCCCCAGACGTTGCTACGCACACGTCGTGTTACGGCTACCCGTCTGGGCGAATCTAAAAAAAACCTCAACCTTCGACTAAAAACTAATAGGTCATCAACCTAAAGTTTAAAGCGGAAGATCGAGTGACCGACTCGGATCATGCTATGCACACGTCATGATACGATCACATGTCCAAGTGGGTCGCCTAAAATCGTAATAGGGTGGAGTGGCATGACAAGCCACTAAAAGAAAAAGAAAAATAAATGAAGGGTAAAAATAATTAAATCGTATGCGCGTATGCTAGTGCTCGTTTGGAGGGGAGGGATCAAGAACCAACGCGAGGCTCTAAGGTGACACACCCCCCAAATGCAATGCGAGCGCGAGGTAAGCAAGTAAACATACATCCAATCAACCAATCATACATTCGTGAGCGAGGGAGTAGTTGGAGACGCGTGAAATGCAAAAATCCTAAAAAAGAAAAAAATGCAACCCTAAAACACCCAAATGTGATATATGAAAAGGTTAAAAGAAGAAAAAGGTTGATTAAATCAAATTTGCTCGGACTCTCGAATGTTCCCAGTGGAGTCGCCAACTGTCGCGCCCCATTTTTTGATAAATAAATAAGTGGTTAAAAAAAATGTATTTTGTGATTGGAAAATGAATCGTGATTTAAAAGAAAAATGGGTCTAAATGGGGTTTTGAGAATGCGACGATTTGACCCAAAATTATAGTTTAAAAAGGGTTTTTAAAACTAAATACGGAGTCGCCACTTGGTAATGAGTTAAGGTGTACCAAGTCAACTAAAAAATGTATTTTTTAAGAAAAATAGGAAAAAGTAGTGAGAAACCCTTTTGTAGACACCAAATTTTGGTGTAATTTCATTTACCGTTTATTTTTAGCTTTTTATTTGCCGTGTTAGCTTTGTTCGTTTTTTAGTTTTTAGTTTCTAGTTTTATTTTTATTTTTAAGTTTTAACATAGAATTTCTTGAAAAAAAAAAGAAAAAAAATTCAAAAAATATGATTTAGTCGTTTGTAATTTAAATTCAATGATTTCTTGAAAGTGAAAAAATAAAAAAAAAGTGAAAAATGATGAAAAATGAAAAATGAAAGGAAAAGATTGAAAATGGCAATTTTGTTGTTTTAGTTTGTTTATTGTTTTTTTTTATTTATTTTATTATTATTACTTAGTTTTTATTATCATTTTTGTTAAATTACTTTATAAAAAAAAAAAAAAAGGAAAAAAGGGATAGCCGCGGCAAGCTGCATTTGTAGCAGCTTGCAAGGAAAGTTTGGGACGGCTCCTTGGGCTGCAAATACAGAAGATGGCTGGGAGTGTTTAGGGTTGTGAGGTTTCTGGTATAAAAAGCAAAGGAGAAAGCCAGCCGCAAGGGAGAGGCAAAGGAAAGTGCAGAAAGCCATGAAATCGAAGGATAAATTTTCCTTGATTCTCAAGAAGACCATGTCATTCTCATGGATCAAATTATCGGCTCTTATATAAAGAACATGCTAAAGCATCATCATCATACACTGTGTGTGTACTGAAGGAGGCTCAGATCTATAACAAGACGAGGCCAAAGAAAGTGCGGCTCAAAAATAAGATTTCCCTTGCTTAATTCCTTAAATTAATTACATCCATGCTGGAATACATATTTTGTCCACAGACATATACCTAGAATGGATGTAATTGATGGTCCACAGACAAGAAGGATGACGGTAGATCTAATAGATTAGTCCACATGACACATACCTAGAATAAGAACCAGCTCCTGGCTTTAGCTCAACAAAGATGAATTCCAAGAACGTGTAATCTCAAATAGTAGAACCCAGTAGCATCTAGTAGATACAAAAGCTGATAAGCGAAGGACAATCCTGCCAAAAAGGATCCCAAATCGATTTGGTTGTGAGTTAGGTGGCTGTCTTGGCACCCCAGGCTGTCCAACATTATCGTACATTTCTGTAAAATCCCAAGATTAAAAATATGTTAAACAGGGAAGAAGCACTTGAACATTTATTTCTATGTCCTAATAATCATTAATTCATAAGAAACTTGGAAGCAATTCTTTGTGGACTGTAAGTTGATTATACATAGGACGATAGCATTGCTTGCATACAAAAATTAAGACCACCGTTGCTTGCTGAAATATGCAGGAAAATAAACAAGAAATCAACCCTTGCATGCTGAAATTTAGTCAAATTTAGAAAATACAAAACATTATACCGAAATTTAATCCACAGACAAGTATCACGATAGAATCATACTACAAAATTCGGCTTACATAAACTATTTCCCAAACTAATGGAAAATAAAATTGCCATTCCTAAGGCAGCTTTCTAAATCTCTGCTATTCCAAAAGATCCAAGTCATCTCCTCAAGCTTAGGCCACCAGCGTGCTGGCAGTTGTAGATTCAGTGCAAGCGAGAGTTTCATGAGCATCTGGTTAATTAAAAAAGAACAAGCAATAATGCCAAGTCGCCAGTTACATAATGAAGAAGCATATTAATCACTAATGTAGAGGTACCCTTACTGCATTCTATAATCAGAAAAATTTTGGAGGGTCTGCTTTACAAATGCAGGTAGATACATGGCTAACGAAAAAGAAACACACCAAAGATAACAAAAAAAGTACAATGCTATCAACATGGCTAACAAAGAAAAATAACCAAACCAGGAAAACAATGGCATAAAGAAATGCACACAAAAAGCAAAAGAAGAAAAATAAACCAGCAACCACAAGCATGAGCATTCAAAAACTTAGCAAATCAAAAAATCAAAAGCATACAGGAATTGCAAGAGACACAGACCAAAAAAAAAACTTCTTTACAGATCAAGAGGGAAAAAACAGATCTAACCCAAAAAAAAATCCACCACCACCAAGTGAATGAAAATAAAAAGTCATAATTTGTCTCATAAGACCTGATGTTCTCTATGTTGACAGAAAGATAGAAGCAAAATTAGATAAA